CGGAAGGCCCGCGAGGGCGGCCGCGCGGAGTCCGCGCGCCGGAGGACTCTGCCCGGCTCCCACCTGTGGCTCTGTTAGCGTCCTTACTTTTCTCTACCGCGCTGTCCTCTTCCCCACCTGAACCTGGGGAGCCGATCCCCCGGAGGTGGAGGGAGGAACTCTCCGGGGTGGGGCTCGCGGGCAGCCCGCGCGCAAGACTGACCCTGCCGCCTCCATGCCTGCTCCTAGACCTCGCTTCCCGCCCGATGCTCTGCGCCTTCACTCTCCCTCCCGGCCTCCCCGGAGAGCCCTGTTGACTTTTTATTCTTTTTTCTTTATCTTTTTCTTTTTCCCAGCGCTTCCTTGGACTCTATCGCTCGAGCTCTGTGTGTTTCCTCCTGGAAGGCACGCGGGAGGCCAAGGTTTCGCGTGATCCCTGCCCGCCGGCGCCTTCCCCGGCTTGCGTGTGCTGGGCGGCCCCTCTTTTGAATGGTCGAGCCCTGATTTCCTACAGGTCTCGTCGAGGCCAGCCCGCGTCTCTTAAAAATTGCACTGTTTCCAAGAGTTCCCGTGCTTTGCCGCGCTTCCAGCTGTTTGGAATGCGACGACGTGTCGCCTCCTGTTCGTTTGGGTTTTTTTTGAAACAGAGTTGCCGCGAGTGGTAAGCTACGCAGGCTAGAGTGTCAGGGGTGAAAGTATTTTTCGAGACAGTGATGGATTAAGAGAGGTGTATTTTATTAAAGGGAAGATGCACGGCGAAGAGCATAGCGCGCAGGATAGCAGCGAGGGTGTTTGCCGCCTGCCCCATTCAGTTTAATGAGTAGCAGCTTCTCGCCCACTCACTCATTTTGAACTCTCAGTATCGGCGGGTTTGTCTTAGCACAGGATTTAGAACCAGAAAGACCACTTCTGTGGCTGGGATCCGGGCACTTGACCTTGACGCGTTTATCTCCTGCGTCAACTGACCTTGCTTACTCCACCCCACTTGAAGTTCAAATAATAACAATGTTTGTGCAAGACTTTAGGAAATCATTTTGTATCAAACGGTTAGTGATAAGGTTACGCTTAAAGTTAAGATAGCGTGAAAGCTTAAAATATCGAGAAAAAAATACAGAAAATGCTGTAGGCATTTGTTTAAAGATGCTATAACAGCATATGACGACCACACTGTTTTTATTCAGCAAATTAAGAAAGTTAATTCGTGGTAGGTAAGTGGTAGATAAGGTGAGAGGATTACCTGAGCCCACAGCTTTGAGACCAGACTGGGCAACTTGGTGAGACCTCATCTCTACAAAAAATCAGAAAGCTAGCCAGGCGTGGTGGCATGGGCCTGTGGTTCCAACTACTTGAAAGGCTGGGGAGGAAGGATCGCCTGAGCTCAGCAGGTCGAAGCTGCAGTGGCTGTGAACGTGCCACTGCACTCAGCCTGGGCAATAGAGTGAAACTCCAACTCAAAAAATATTATTATTATTATTTTGCAGCCATAAAGAAGGACAGAATTGTGGGCTTCGCAGCAATTTGGATGGATTTAGAGTCTATTATACTCAGTGATTATGAGTGAGAACTGAATACCACATGTTCTCACTCATAAGTGGACCCTGAACATTCATTGCAGTACTATAAGAGAGGGCTCGGCCGTGGCGGGACACTGCCAGGGAAGCAGGAACACATAATCACTAAGGATACCTGATGCTAAACCAGAAGTGAGGACCGGTGGGAGGCCCAAACTTCACCTGTATGTACCAAAACCTGATGTGTGCCCCACATCTTTAAAATAAAATAAAATTATATTTAAAAAAAAATAAGGCCAGGTGCGGTGGCTCACGCCTATATTCCCAACACTTTGGGAGGCCAAGGTGAAAGGTTTGCCTGAGCCCATGGGTTTGAGACCATCCTGGGCAACTTGTCCTGACCTCATCTCTACAGTAAATTAAAAAATTAGCTGGGCGTGGTGGCGCATACCTGTAGTTTCAGTTACTTGGAAGGCTGAGGTGAAAGGATTGCCTGAGCCCAGCAGGTCAAGGCTGCAGTGACCATGTGTGTGACTGCACTCCAGCCTGGGTGACAGAGTGAGACTCCAACTCAAAAATAATTATAATTTTTTTTTTTTTATTTTTTTAGTTGAAGTCTCACTCTGTCAGCCAGACTGGAGTGCAGTGGCCGTTCCCGGCCATGCAACCTCGACCTGCTGGGCTCCGGTGATCCTTCCGCCTCAGCCTGACAAGTAGCTGGAACTACAGGTGTGCACTGCCACGCCCGGCTAATTTTTTGATTTATTGTAGAGATGTCTCGCCAAGTTGCCCAGGTGGGTCTCAAACCTGTGTTCAGGCAATCCACTCACCTCAGCCTCCCAAAATGCTGGGATTACAGGCTGAGCCACCAAGTCCAGCTAATAATAATAATTTTAAGTAATAACCATAACACAAAAACAATAATGGTCAGAAGATAAACACATAGTGAAGATGTTAAACTTTGTGTATATAATCATGTTAGTTAAATAAAAAGGGAGGGGGGTTTGAGTCAGGGTCTCACTCAGTCACCCAGACTAGACCCAGTGTAGTGGCATAATCACAGCTCACTATAGCCTTGAGCTCAGGTAATCCTGATTCAGCCTCCCGAGTAGCTGGACCTACGAGTGCGTGCCACCATGTCCAGCTACTTTTTTTATTTTTCTGTAGAGAGGAGGTCTCACTATATTGCCTAGGCCAGTCTCAAACTTCTGAGCTCAAGCAATCCTCTCGCCTCAGCCTTCCAAAGTACTGGAATTACAGCTGTGTGTCACTGCCCTGGCTAAAAGGTAATTTTTACTAAAACCAAAACATCCAAAAAGAGTTACAATTTAGGCAACTACTAAGTCATACCACAGATGAAACATTTTATTTTCCTGATTCCTTCTTAAAACAATCAACAGGTGGGGCTCAGTGACTCAGCCTGTAATCCCAGCATTTTGGGAGGCTGAGGGGAGTGGATTGCCTGAGCTCGCATAATTTTATTGTCTTGCAACTATAAAGAAGGACAAAAGTGTGGGCTTTGGGGGGCTGAGGCAAGTGGATTGCCTGAGACCTCGGCTCTACAATAAACCAAAAAAAAAATTAGCCGGTTGCGGTAGTGCATGCCTGTAGTTCCAGCTACTTGGAAGTCTGAGGCGTTAGGATCGCCGGTGCCCAGCAGTTCAAGGGTGGGGTGGCGGTGAGCAGGCCACTGCACTCCAGCCTGAGAGACAGAGTGAGACTCCAACTTAAAAAAAAAAAAAAAAAAAAAAAGAGGGCCGGGCTCG